AATTAACTTAAAGTAACCTTGTATATATTAAAAAATTTAATTATAATACGGAACCGAATCGAATCGAATGGAACCGAACCCGAACAATTCCGTAATTAAATTTGGACCCGACTGTTCCACTTACTAAATACCCGAAAATAACCGAACCGGACCATGTCCAGCCCTAATTTTTACTTTAAAATTTCCTGGGCATGGTGAGTAAGAATGAAATAATTTTCCACAGCCTGTCATATGGTCTGTAGCTCCCGAGTCAATAACCCAATGTTCAGTACTCTGCCTGCTCATCAATGCTGAAATATAATTACCTTTTTCAGCCAACAGACTGGAGGATGGTGCTGTACTGGATTTTGGAGTGATTAGCTAATACAGTTGCTCAAGTTGGGCTTTGGTGAGGGAGAGCGAAACGTTCTCGGCTTGAATAGTGGGAGGTTCAGCAACACTCTGGAAACTTGAAGTATTACGCATCTGATGCTCCTCGCGTTGAGTCTGAATCTGCCTTCCATCATTACGGGTTACCTGTTTCTAGTTCGGTTGTCTACCATGTAAAACCCAACATCTATCTATAGAATGGTTTCTTCTCTTACAATGATCTCGCCATGAATTATTTCTCATGTGCGTCTTAAGTGTATCCAATCTGCGTGCAGCTAGTGCCGAGTTTTCCACGGTAAGTTGTCTAGAGTCCCCAAGCATAACCCGTCTTCTACTTGCTTCACGTCGTACCCGTACCTCAACGAAAATTTCATCAATTGCTAGAGAAGGCTTTATACCCAGTAATCTACCTCTCACTTCATCCAATTCAGGTACTAGGTCAGCCAAGAAATCATAAACTCTCTCTTTCTCCACCTGTTTTCTGTATTTTTCAGCGTCCTTAGGTGTGTCCCAATCAATCTGGACAAACTTATCTATTTCTCGCCATAGCCTTTATAATGTATTGTAATATTGGGTGACATCCAGCTCCCCTTGGCGTAAATTTCTGGCCTTATTTCGAAGTTCAAATAGCTGGGCAGAATTCTTCAGGTCAGAGAAGGCAACATTGAGGGCATCCCAAAGTTCCTTTGCTGTAGAGTAATATAAGTATGGTTCCTTAATATCATCTTCAATTGAGTTAACTATCCAGGCCATCACCATAGAATTTTGTGTATCCCAGGTTGTATATGTTGGATCATTTTCAGCTAGCTTAACCGTGGTTCCAGACTTCAGTCACATAACCAAGTCGTCCACAGCCACGGATTACCATCAGTGTAGATCTGGACCATTGAAGGAAATTATTTCCATTTTGCCAAGTGGTAGTAATCTGAAGAGAAGAGTTTTCAAAGAGAGTGGTCATAGGATTCTGAGTAGGTATAATGGGTGCACTCGTAGGGAACGATTCAGCAGTCCCAGTTGAGACCCTGAATCCTCGGCCCTGTGTGCACCAGTCATGGCCATTTTGTCCATTCCACCTGCTCAAATATCCCTTAGCTCTGATACCATAATGCAGAGAGTGATAGAGGAAGAAGACCACAGTAAAAGGGATGAAGAAAACTTTTATTAAGTCTTAACCGAGTACAATTATTTATGGGACAGAAATAAAATATCAATGATCCTACCTACCAAACTTAAATATATTCTAATCTTCTAAACAAGGAAATAAAATATATGTTAACAATAATAGTTTCATAAGATATGGTAGTCAATAATCCTTCAAATTAGCACCAAACATCTTGGAAACTTCAGC